TGCCCCCTACAGAAGAGGGAGTGGGTGCATGTGGTTCACCAGAGGCCCAGAGAGCCCAGGGCGAGGGAAGGGCGGCCTCCGCACACCAGCAAGGAGGCTGGGCCTCCCACATCCCACAGCCTCAGGCCCAGGGCCTGTTATAAAGAGGCCTGTGGAAAACAGCCCGAGGACACGGGAGCTCATGCCTGAGGGCTAGAGCCACTGAGCCTGGCTGTGTGTGTGTCTCTGTGTGTGTCAATGTGTGTGTCAGTGTGTGTCTCTGTGTGTGTGTGTGTGTCTGTGTGTGTGTCAATGTGTGTGTCAGTGTGTGTCTCTGTGTGTGTGTGTGTCTGTGTGTGTGTCAATGTGTGTGTCAGTGTGTGTCTCTGTGTGTGTGTGTGTCTGTGTGTGTCAGTGTGTGTGTGTGTGTGTGCATATTTGCGATTATGTGGGGAGGAGTGTGTGTGGGTATCTGTGTAGTTCCTGCACTTGCGTGTGTGCAGTGTGTATAGTGATGCTTGCATGTGATGTGTGTAACACATATATTGCATGTACTGTACCTGTGTGCGTACATGGTGAGGTGTGTTTGTGTGTGCTTCTGTGTATAGTGTGAGGTGCGTGTGTAGGCGGCATGTGGTGTGTGGGTGGCAAGCTGTGTGTGTCTCTCCCACGGGCAGGGGGTGCATGTGTGTCCTCCCGTGGGCTGGGGGTACGTGTCTGGGAAGCGGCTGGACCTGGAGGCTGGGGCAGCCAGCCAGGCCAGCAGGGCTGGGAAAGGGGTCTAATAACGCCTGGTGACCTTGCTCTGGGGCAAGGAGGCTGCGAGGTGAACACACAGCTCCGAGGTCGGCTGGCCGAGCTCCAGCTCCCCGGCAGGCGTGACCTCGGGCGCCACAGCCAAGGAGGAAACACACACTTCACAGGACACCCCGCCCCAGGTCTGTCTTGCAGTCCCTGGGAGGAAAGGACACAGGCTGGGTTCCCACGGAGCCGCTGGGCGCAGGCCAGGGAGACAGTGTCTGGATCCGCGAGGGAACCTGTTTTCATGCCTAGCTGGGGGTCTGAACGGGAGTCTCCTTGTGTCTCGCCCTGTCCCCCAGCCTGGGGTGTGGGCTCCCAGAGGAGGACTGGGCCTGATTCCCTGGAGTCAGGTGCCTACTCCTAGCTAAGCTTATCTGCTGGGTTTACCAAGGAAGACGGTCTGCCCCATTCAAGACCATTCGCAACTTGGCCTGGTGCCTGGGTGGCCCCACCCCATGTCCGCTGCCCCTCCCTCTCTCCTGCTCCGACCCTGGGCTGCTGCACACTCAGGCTGACCCCGCCTGCCCAAGGCTCCAGGCTGGGCACACCTCCCGCTCCGTCACAATCCCTGGATGTGTGCCCTGCTCTCTCTGCTCCCCACCCCCACAGCACCCCAGGTAAGGACCTCCTCATCCCTAGAGCCTCGCTGTCTCCCGCAGTGTGTGACACACAACGCCCCAGGGGCTCAGTGAGAGTGTCCTTCACGGCCACTCCTCCAGGTCTGCATTGATTTGATCATTCAAAGAATCCATCAGCTGGGTGTGGTGGCTCATCCTATAATCCAGAGGCTCCAGAGGCTGAGACAGGAGGATCACAAGTTCAAAGCCAGCCTCAGCAAAAGCAAGGCGCTAAGCAACTCCGTGAGACCCTGTCTCTAAACAAAATACAAAATAGGGCTGGGGATGGGGCTCAGTGGCTGAGTGCCTCTGAGTTCAATACCCCAAGAAGAATCCATAAAACAAATCCATGAACTGTCTGTTTGTTGAAATAACTGGACACTAACACACTGGTCCCCCGGGGCAGAGGCATCATCTCAGACCCACACAGCCACGGGGAGCTCATGCTTTTGTCACACACCAAGAAAAACGGGTGGGAAAGCCACGAAGGTTTTGCAGTTCTGTGTCAAATCAGTGGTAACATTACACCTGCTGTAGGGCGGGTGGGTGGGGGTCAGACCTTGGAGTCAGCAAGGGAGGCTTCCTGGAGAAAGCAGCTTTGCGTCCTGAGTGACTGGGAGCCCCGGCTTCTCCCTCTAATCCAGGCAACTGGCGTATTCGTGGCACTAATGTTCTATAACGCCGCTGTGAATGCTGAATCAGTGAATACCGAAGCACCGACGCCCCAGGAGATGTAGGGGCAGGCGCCTACAAACCACTGGTCACAGCATTTTCATTAACAGTTAATACAAACCTTGTTTTATGTGTGTTTCCGTTGAAAGATGACTTGTTTAATATGTGTTGATCCCTCACCGCTGACCTCAACAGCAAATGTCCAGCCACGCCCTGACAAAGCTTAGCCAACGCACCGCTTTTCTCTGTAAGATACCACACACTGCTCTCCCTCCTTGGCGTCACGCTTGGGAACCATTTAAACAGCAAAATCACCAAAATGTGAATACGGTGGAACTATCTAGACCTTAAAAGAGGCTGCCGGTTTGCAGCCAGAGATCAGAAACAAGCCAGCCAGCGCCACCTTGCTGACTTCAGCTGGGCACGCTCACGTCGGCGAACTGGAGATTTTGTGCACCTACATGAACCACCTTGCAAGTACCAGCTGATTTTGCAGTTATAGATGAGCGCCACTGCGTTGGAGAATTCATAAATATGGAGTCTGGAAACCATGTGGATCTACTGTGACTGACAGCATCCCTTTTCAGTCTCCAAGGCCATGGGGATCTGTGCCTCAGTTCCGGAGCCCAGCAGAACATGCCAGGGCCACTGGGCCCAAGGTGACTCTTCTAACCCCGGTCCCCCCAGGCTGCCGCAGGTGTCCAGCTCTTTGTCTGCCACAGGGGGTACGTGCTGCAGATGACCAGAAGCCCACCACACACCCCGACTCTCACAGGAACCTGGAAGTCACCACAGCCTGCTGCCGCCCCGGCCCCCAGGAGCATCCATCAGCGGCGCTCTGACAAAGAATGAGCCCGACAACTTGCCTGCAGCTCCCTCTCCAGATGCCTGCCCTGGGATTTCTCCCATGAGCCGCAGCTTGGCTCTGGGCTCGGGAAAGCCAGCATCAAAGGCCTGGATGACAGGCACTGGGGCCGGGCCAGCGTCCACGTCTATGTTCCCAAATGCTCCCAAATGTCCTGGCAAATCACTCTGAACTCTCCACGTGACTCCCACGGTGCACGGGGAGCCAGCAACCAAATGTCATCGCCTGTTCAAAAGCATTAAGGCCGTCCTCGTAGCCGGGCTCCTGAGACTCACCTGCCCGCGGTTAGCCCAGGTGCTGCCCCGCTACTGAAAACAGGCTCCCAGCCTGTGTTCAACAGAGCACGGCCCACCTCCCTCCACAGAGGACAACAGAACCAACACATTTCCAGGGACCAGAGGGCAGCTCAGCAGGCGGCGGCCTGAGAAGCAACCTCGGACAAGCACAGAGCCCGCCAGGAGACGTTGCTTGGCGTGTTAGACGCCTGATGAAAGCAGCTGCTATTCCTTGAGCTCAGGTTCTGTGTGAGGCGGGCTCGGTGCCAAGGACGTTAGTGACAGTGTCTCATCCAGCCCACGGTGGCCACTTCTCTCTTCCCCCCTTTCTGGGAGGGCAGGTGATGTCCAGCTTGTCTTTCCGGGGTGCAGAAGCAAACCCAGGGCTGGGGCTCAGGGTCCAGCCAGGGTGTAGTGACTGTACTGTGGGGGGCCCCAGCCAACTGCCCCCGGGGGTGGACACGCAGCTCAGTGGGGGTGGCCACCCCACGGGCCTGACAGTAATGAGAAAATGGGAGCGGCCATGTCCATCCAGAAAAGGGACCTGGGAGAAGGAGGAGGAGGTGTCTGCTCCCTTCACCTCAATGTGGAATTCAGCGGCGGAGCCCCAACGTGGGCTTGGGCTGTGAAGCTGGATGAGAAGACGGAAGTAGGGGGACAGCTCTGCGGAGCCTAGAGCAGCCACAGGAGATGAGGTGGGCGGCCCAGGAGAGCAGAGGACGCGTGCGTCTCACGTAAATTGTGCCTCAGTGTCCAGAAATTGGGGGCCACAGCAGCACACACCTCGAGGGGTCGCTGTGAGCCCGCGGGAAGAGCTTAGACCAACACACGCCTGCATGGCAAAGGCCTGCCACCGCTGGTCACCGGGCCACCCTCAGCAGCACATCACACCCAAGACCCAGGCAGCCCGGGTGAACACCGCCATCCCCAGCCCGGTGCTCAGCACGCCTCACCTCGCGTTAATGAATGCTCACCCACCCTGGGGACAAGACCAGACCAGACCCGGATTCTGGGACCCACCTGTCCACTCAGCAGCTGTACAACCCGGGGCCATCTTGAGACGTCCTGAACAAGCTTGGGGAGAATCACAAATGTGCCACGCTCAGGATGGAGAGCGAGGTGAACAGACAGCCCCACCATCCCACGTTTACAAGGTCACAGGGGCTCACAGAGGTCAAGCGTCCATCCCCAGGAAAGGCGGGAAGATCCACCTCCAGCCCTCTGCGGTCCACACCCTTCTCACATGGTTGCCACTGCTGTGAGCACTCTTAGAACACACACAGTGTGACAGAGACTGATCTTTCAACCTGACCAGCCTGTGGCACAAGATCTAGCCGGACGTTCTCTTAGATGTGGAGGCAGGTTTCAGGTGAGATCGACTTTTAAATCTCCACACCGTGAGTGGGCCTCATCTGATCAGCTGAAGACCCCTGAGCAGGCAGGAATGCTGCCCGCAGGTGGCCTGCAGGCGCGCACTGCACTCTGCCTTGGGTCCTCGGCTACCTTGGAGCCTGGACCCAGCAAGCCTCTGTAACTGGGTAAGTCAACTCCTTATCCTGGTGGCTGTCTGCAGAGACGCCTGGTCGCTATGCTCAGGTGTGACTGTGGACCCGGCAGAGGGGAGGAGAAAGCTACCTGGAGACAGACCTTCTGTCTGCAATGATCTGCCATCGCCCGACTCCATCAATTTCTCATTCTGCTTCCTGGTGAGTCACATTCCAAGCAGCTGGCCGGGATGGGGAGGAACAAAGCTCCTTCTCATGCTCAGACAGAGCTCTGTTGAACATTTACCTTCCACCAGCCTCCAGGAGGCAGGAGGAAGGGCCTCGGTGCCATTCTCCAGCCCTGAGGGGAAAAGCGGCTCATTTAGAGAGGGTGAGTCCGACGCCATCAGGCTTTCTCCATAGCAACGGCTCCACAGCAGGGCCAGCAGCTGGCCCCTGGTGAAACTGGACATCCCACATGCAGGCCACTGGTAACACAGGAGCCACCAGCGCCTTGCAGGCACGGCCATGTGGGTCCCCAGCTGTGACTTGGGGTGGACAGCTGCACGTCCCTTTGACTGGCAGACCTGCTGACAGTGGTAGACAGCCTGCCCCAAGGCAGAACTGAAGGAAAGCACTTTATCCCAACTCGGCCCTTGTGACAAAGGTCGTGGTGCAAAGTGCTCCCATCTGGTCTTTCAAGTCTTCAGAGGGCTTGTCCTCGAGGTCGCACAGATGACGACGGGACCCACTGACGGCAGCATGCGGGCCCTGCCAAGCCGAGGCCTGCCAGGCTCTCCTGCCCCCACCAGCCCAGCCGCCTGCCCCCAGGAGACCCACACTCAGCTTTTCACCTACTACGGAGGATCTGCCTCTCCCTGCCCCGGGACCCTGTGACCGTGTTCGGAAGGGGGTGGATGGGATGTGGTGTGCCACTTCCAGCCTGTTCTGTGCCCCTCTCACAAACAGTGCTCCTTCCCACCTCTGTCCACCCCCATCTACTGGCTAGAGGTGGATGCCCTTCCTGGGGCCCGGGCCGTGGACCCTGCGTGAAATTAACTTCCACCAGTCTGCACGGCACGGGCTCCGAGGCTCCGGGTACAGACCAGGTTCTTTAACACAGGTTCCCAGTTTACCAATAAGAAATCAAACCCAGGACTCGTGCTCCTCCTCCTGTGATGCGCCATCTACCAAGCCACGGTCCAGCTAATGCCCTTCCTGACCATCTCCCCACCATCGCCACCTGATTCAATGTTTTTAAGGAAATTGAATTAACTATCATTTGTTTCCCGTTGTATCTGCTCATTCTTTTGGAGATAAAATTCATATGGCATATAATGCAATAAAGATCAGCGGTCCCCAGCATACAACCATTGCCACGATCTAATTTTAAAATGCTCTCCCCCACCAGGCCCCCTCCACTCCCTCTCCCCAGCCCCAGGCCACACAATATGCCTTTCTACCTTCACAGATTTAGGAAATGTCATATCCTAAATGACTGGCTCCCTTCACTGTGCATCAAGTTTTCAAGGTTCATCGAAGTCATTCCTTTTTAGTGCTGAACATATTCTGTGGCCCAGCCGCACCTCGGCATTCCCCCCGCAGTGTGCGGAGGTTCTAGTTTTTCCATATCCTTGTCAACACTTACAATTGTCCATTGCTACTTTAGTCATTCTAGTGGGAGTGAGGCGATGTGTTACAGCTTCTCTTTCTTTTCCCCACTGACTTAGTAACATTAATCACCTCTTCAAGAGCTTAGTGGCCGTCTGTACATCTTGTATGGAGAAGATGTTTACATTGACTCAAATGCTCTGCTAATTTCTATATTGGGCTGTTTGTCTTTTTATTGAGTCACAAGAGTTCTTTATATGTTAGATATTACTTTTGATAAAATCGGATTCATTTTTCGAAGTGACTCCTGATGAACCAAGTTATTCTGGACCATTCAGACCCAGAATGGCAACTGTGCTCACTGCACCTATTTATGCAGACAGCACATTCCTGAGGGACACAAAAATGGTGCCAAAGATCCTGGCCCCCTCTGTCTTCTTTTATCGTTTCAGTAAGATTTTCCACCTGCTCACAGAGTTGGTCTCAAAATACCAGGGACCTCCTTGCAATGGAAAGCGACACAGCCACTAAAACTCTAATGCAGGTCCACCTCGTAGCAGCACATTTAACCAAAGTCGGAGTTCAGGGAACAGGGCAGCTTCCAGAATACAAGCCTGTCCAAAAAATGTCCATGTGTGTGACAGGTGAATGTGCAGCTTGGTGAATTCCAGTCTGTGAATACCTCACCGGCTCCCAGATCATATGCACGTCCCCATCACCCTGGGGCGTTCTCTCTGCCCCTCCCCAGGCCACATCCGCCCCATCACCCCTACCAAAGGCATGCAACTGTTTAGACTTCTGCCACCACAGGTTCAATCCGCCTCCGCCTGTTCTTGAACTGCACATAGTGGGGTCACTCAGCACACAGTCCTTTGTGAAGTCTGTCTTTTTTGTTCCCTGAGTGTTTTTGAGACTCATTCATGTTACTGTTACCAATAGCCTGGTCTTTTTTTACTGCTGTGTATTATTCCACTGGGAGACTCCTCCCCGATTTATTTACATCTTCTTCTATTGATGGGCATGCATCCTGTCTTATAGAACGACATAAATATCTTTTTAAAATTTTATTTATTTATTGTTCTAACTAGTTATACATGACAGCAGAATGCTCTTTGATTCACGGTTCACAAATGGAGCACAAGTTTTCACTTCTCTGGTTACACAAAGTAGAGTCCCACCATTCGTGCAATCACACATGTACCTAGGATAATGACGTCCTTCTCATTCCAAAAAAGACATAAATATCTGAATGGAGAAGAGTGTGGAGTGAAAAATGTCCAGCAGGGATTGTCCCTGCAGAGAGCAGCTCAGACTGCTGGTGGCTAAATGGAGAAAGAATGTCAGGTAGGTGTAGCCTTCCAAGAAGAGAGGTGCTGAGCAGGGCGTCTCTGGGAAAATGTTGTCTAGGGAGACGGAGAGAGAGGACAGGAGGGCGCTGCAGGGAGAGGACCAAAGTGTATCAGCACAATTCTGGCTGCTGTAACAGACAGCCCCAGACCTCAGTGGGGCCTGGGAAGGAATCAGCAGGGGGAGGGGGAGAGGGCTTCAGAAAGCCTGGAGATGAAGTCAGGCAATTTCCCTCCTGTGCACCTACTACGCACCAGGCTCTGTGCCGGTGACTGGGAACCCCGACACGTAGGCAGTGATCTCACTGGACAATTGTGACAAAATCTGAGGCAATATCCAAAACCCAGAATGTGGTGGACACAGACTCACATCTATGCTAGCTGTGTGTCCTGAGTGTGCTCACTTATTCACTCTTAATTCACCTAATAGTTGAGTGTGGCTAGATGCCAGGCCCCTGTGCAAGACACTGAGAACAAGGAAGATGCAGCTCCCGCCTTCAAGGGGTTCACAGAGGACAAGGAAGCCCAAATTGACTGGTAAAAAAAAAAAACCGTGAGCCCTCGCCTGTGATCCCAACAGCTCGGGAGGCTGAGGCAGGAGGTCTGCGAGTTCAAAGCCAGCCTCGGCAACTTAGTGAGGCCCTATCTCAAAATAAAATAAAAAAGGGCTGGGGATGTAATTGAGTGGTTAAGTGCCCCTGGGTTCAGTCCTAGATACCAAAAAATAAAAAAGAATTACTGTGAGCTGTCGGTGAACACTCCTCCAGCAAAACTCCAGGGCGGAGCAGATGGAACCCTCCTTGTTCATTCACTTAAATGTCATTTTTTTAAAACATATTTTTAATTGTAGCTGGATGCAATACCTTTATTTCATTTATTTATTTTCACACCATGCTGAGGGTTGAACCCAGTGCTCTACCACTGAGCCCCAGCCCCAGCCCTTAAATATCATTTTTGAATAAATAGACGCATGGGTTGGAACTCAGAATTTAACAGAAGTGGGTGTAGGAAAGTCTCCCTCCTGTCCCTCCCCCAAACCGTCAGCATCCCTCCCCCAAAGCCGGGGACACAGTCGTGGTTTGTGTGTCTCCTTAAGGAACGTTCTCCATGTCTACCAGAGCGCCCACACCCTCCCCGACACAGGACTCAGCTACTCTAGAGGACTGAGCCCTGAGGCTCTGCCCTGCAGTGATGGGAAGAACGTTCCAGAAAGAAGAACCAGCATAAGAAAAGCACCAGAGAAAGCTGAGACGATGCTGGGAGGTGGCGGGGAGGAGGGCTTGGACTTCTGTCCCTGGAACTGCTGGGAGGAGATTCCTGCAGAGGCTCATCTGGGCGGTCAGTGGCCCGTCACCCCCCACCCCACACCAGAGGCTGCGCATCTGGGGGCCCCTCAGTCGACCCTCTGCCCCGGAGGACGAGCAGCAGGAGGAACAGGAGAAGGCACTTGTGCCACCACAGGCGACTTACAGTCGGGAACTCCATGTGGCCTGCTCCTGCCCCCTGACGGGGCTGGCCAATGTGAACAGTAGGGAACAAGCCACACTCAGCAAGGGCCCAATGA